AAAGAAAGAAAGAAAGAAAGAAAGAAAGAAAGAAAGAAAGAAAGAAAGAAAGAAAGAAAAGAAACCGAAGGCCTGAGTGCAACAGCCTGTATGGAACAAACTATGGGAGTGAGCTTGGAAGGGGATCCTTCAGTCCCACTCCAGTTTTGGGATGGCCTCGGCCCCAGCTAAGGCTTGAACTCAACAAGAGAGACCTGAGCCAGAGCACCCAGCTAAGATGCTCTGGATTTCGGACCCCCAGAAACCGGTGTTTTAAGCTTCTCAGTTTTGGGATAATTTGTTACACAGCAATGGATAATATACCCACCTGACTCAGATGCCAGACGTTTGGAGACCGTCCAAACCGTTTGAATAAAATGTTCTATTGGCCTATCATGAAAATAATGCACAATATGACAAAAGGAAAGAGAACACAGTTCTCGGTCTGGGGTTGCTCTTTGGCCTGATTCACACAGTGAGTGGCTCAACATGACTTACGTTTACACGCTGGCTACTAGACCTTTGCACTTTTTCTTTTTTTCTCCCAATGTGGAACTCTGGGGTGTCTTGAGTTAGAAACTCAGCTTTAACCTTTGTAGCTATAAACTGACTACACTGTCTTATCGTCTTGCCTTGGGAGAGAAGAAAACCGGTGAAGTCACCATTTCTCACGTGGCTGAAACCTGCCGGCTGGCAGGAGCTCCGTTTCCTACCCCCACCCCGAGTCTCAATAGCTTGGTTTCCTGACTCCAAGAAAACCACCTTTGATTATATAAAGGTATTAGGGGCTAGGGAAACACTAGTCCTTTTGTTACCCGCCATCTCGAGCGCTTAGAAAGAAACGCTGTGGGGGTGGGGGCAACCCCGGTTAAGTTGGGCGGGCTTTCTCAACTCTGGGGCTTGTATCCAACCTGAGCGAGAGGACTTCCCGGTTCTCCGAAAGTTGTGCGAAAAGGACGTCCGAGGCGTGTGGGTTTCCTCCTCCCGGAGCTGCGCTGCCGGGGACAGCCGGGAGGTGCGCGACACCCGCGCGTCCCAACTTCCCGCCGCGAGCCCAGCGTGGGGGGTGGGGTGGGGGTGGGCGGGGTCGGCCGCGCTCCGACCCCTCCCCCTCCGTCCCCTCCCCTTCCCCGCGCTCTCCCCACCCACTTCCCTTTCTCGGCCGCCCGGGCAGCCCTGCGGGCGCGACCTCTCGGAGCAGTGACGAGCGGGGAGGAGCCCGCCGCCGCCGCCGCCGCCGCCGCCGGAGCCATGCCCGCGCCCCGCCGTGCCCTGAGCCCGCCCCCGGCTGTCCGCCGTCCCACGGGCCGGCGGCGGGAGTGAGCGGGAGCGACGGGCGAGGAGCCGCCTCCCGGCCCGCGATGTCACCATTGTTCAGCTGGGTGGCCAAGGTAGGCGGCGTCGGGGCAGCGTCGGGCCGGCGCCCGTTACCGTAGCGGACGGCTCTGGGGAGCCGGCGTCCCGGCGGGTGCGGTTCTGGGGACGTTTGTAACCGTCGAGCCGCGGGGGGTCCGGAGCGCGGGAGGAGCGCCTGCGGCGGGGGGTGGGGGGTCTGACCGTGCCGAGACCGCCGGCTGCGGGGGACGCCCCGCTGACTGGGGACAGCGACCGGAGAGTGGCGGGCGCGGCTGGGGTCGTTTCCCCGGCGGTTCTCATTCATTAGTTGGCCTAACGGGCTAGGTGGCGTCACGCCCATTTGACGGGTGGGGAGAGCGAGGCTCGGCGCCGGACCCAGGTGTCCGCACCTGGCGGCCGGCTGCCTCTCTTCCCCCGCAGCCCACCACGCGCCGCGGATTCTCCGCCGGGTGTTTCCCCCGCGGCGGGAGCTTGGGTGGCATCCTCCTTGCCACCGGCTTGTGCTTGTTTGCCTGGGTTAGGGCGCCGAGGATGCCGAAAAGCTGGACTTGGTGCACACGGAGGGTGTCCGTCCTTTGTTTTAAACTCCCTGATTTCAGAGGGTTCGGTGGTCTGAGTTTTGAATGGAAAATGTTTACCTTCTATTTCCATGAAGTTTTACTTTCAGAACATTAGCGCCTTCAGAATAACTGAGCGTTGCAAACCCCTGCCAATTTCACTATCGCTAAAACGAAGGGATGGGAGTAGATTTCTAGAGTTCCCACCAGTTTGCGAACATAGAATTATTTTAATACCCTGGCGGAGTACCAGCCGTTTAGGTGTTTTTGAGTGATGGATCCCTCTCAACTTCAGGCCAGCAGGACAACTGGGCACCTTTCTCACACTCCAGGGATTCCTCTTAGCCCTTAGCAGGGCTCACTCTTGGAGTTTGACAGGTTGAGTAATAAACTCTTATTGAGAGAATCTGTTAGCCATTATGTGACCCTTTACAAATAATAATTAGGTGGTTGTTATATCTTCTAGTTATGTAGTGCTTTTAGAGTGCTGGTTTTATAAATAAATACCTGTTTGTGAGCCACATAAGGCTTTGCCTGTCATTTAAGTGGTAATAAAATGGAGACACAGAAACCAGATTAGTTATTAGGCACTGTATCCTATCTTCTCATTCTCACCAGAATTTTCACTTCCTGAAACACAGCTGTGATAAAATGAAATGACTTTCAACAAAGTTTTGAGCCCTTGTAGTTTTGTGCTGAATAAAAGAATGATAAAGTCCAGATTTTTTGGTTTGAAGTGATACCTTATTGGCTTTTATAAATAATGCTAAATTTAAAAAAATGTTATGTAGTTTAAAAAGTAATTCAGGGTGTGTTGTCTGATTATATTTTATTTATTTTAGGTTGAGGATTCGAGTCCACCTTTTATACTGTTTGACTTTGTACCACAAGGCCAAAGGGAGACAAACCAAAAAAAAAAAACAAAACAAAACAAAAACTATATATTTTTTTACTCCAAAATTGCTAAGAAGTAAATCTAAAACAACAACGACAACAACAACAAAAACCAAAAAGAAAAACCTATCAACAAACTTATTCCTGGTACTGCTTTATAGTTTTGTTTACTTTTCCAAAACATTTAATAAAGATGCTTTTCACTATAGGAGTGAGGTGGACTTTTGTTCACGTTGACCTAAGAGATGATAGTGAAAACACCAGACTAAAGCTTTACTTAAAACATTAAGGACTTTTACAAGGATTGTCAGCTTTCTCCAATTGGCAGTACTTTTGAAAAGGTGATGTAAATGAACTGTATATTGTAACTTCCTGTAAATTCTGAATCGTGTTATTCCAGAGTTATTTAAACTACAGAACAACAGCAAAACTGTGAAATGTTTCTGGAGCAAATTTATCAGTTGTCAGCAGAAAGTGTAGCTATTTTATGTTTCATGTCTTCTACATGGTGTACTCTCATCAATTGCATCCTGAAATTGATTCTTATAGACGATATGTTGTGAGTTTTTAGAATGTGAAACTATCTGAAATCATGTCTTGGGGTTATAGATTGTAAGAGTGAGTTTCTTTGGAACCTCTTTGGTTTACTGTTAAGAGATAAGGCATTAACACAGTTGGCATTATAAACCAGGGAATGTTTTAAAAGCAGAAACAAGAGCTGCAAATAAGACAATGTGTATAATCCCAGAGTACATTTATATTTGATTTTAGAATGACTCTTCAAGAACACACAGCTGACTACGAACACACACTTCACACAAACACTTGCACATCTAATTACTTTTCTGTCTTGACCTTTGCAGACTGTGGCTCGATACCTGGTAGGGAAAGAGAAGGGGAGTAGACATCACTTGATGCAGGTGGATACCCGAACGGGAGTTTGTTTTTCTTGGGTGCTGCATTAATATTGCATGAATATTGAATATGTGGAGTGAGCAGTTTCATGGTATAGGAATACAGCCCAAACAGGGAAGAATTTTATGTTAAGGAAGGAAAAATTAAGACGTACTTTCTGTTAAATTGGACATGACATGGAGCAGGGGTGCAGGTGTGCATTGTATTACCAGTGGGGCAGGTTTTATAGAGGTGTGGTTTCTTGATTAGTCTTTCATTGGGGCACGAGTTTTTATGTAGATTACAAAGAAAACCTAATTTCTCAAGAATCGTGATGTTTATACTAAACCCACAGATGTCCTCAACAACCTGGCAGTTTTGAGTGTTTCTGCTCACTGCTTCTGTGTCTCCCATGCAGCAGCTAGCGAAAACTGCAGAACTGTCGGGTAATTTTCTGAATTTATCTGAATTTGCACCTGCCTGTAAAGGTAGTGGCTAAGATTATTGCTAGTGTCTGAAAGTAGTGGGTTTTAAATTTTTTTTTTCAACGTTTATTTATTTTTGGGACAGAGAATGAACGGGGGAGGGGCAGAGAGAGAGGGAGACACAGAATCGGAAACAGGCTCCAGGCTCTGAGCCATCAGCCCAGAGCCCGACGCGGGGCTCGAACTCACGGACAGCGAGATCGTGACCTGGCTGAAGTCGGGCGCTTAACCGACTGCGCCACCCAGGCGCCCCAAGTAGTGGGTTTTAAATGTATGTGTTACTCTGTCAGATAACATGGAAAATGGGACCTAAATATATCCGGATTTGCTGTGTTCTCGAATTCATATATGTAGTTTCATATAGTTCATGCCTTGTGTTATTTCCCAGTGCTCATTATGCAGGGGATGTTTATTGGGTACCTTCTGTGTACCAGGTACTGTTCATACTCTGGAGGAGTGAGTTCAATTTGCACAATAGGTTTATCCTTTTTATTTTTAATTTTTTTTTTTTAAAGTTTATTGATGCTGAGAGAGAGAGAGAGAGAGAGCATATACAGAGAGAGAGAGGAGGAGAGAGACAGAGAATCTCAAGCAGGCTCTGCACTGTCAGCGCAGAGCACAGCATGGGGCTGGAACTCATGAACGATGAGATCATGACCTGAGCTGAAACGAAGTGTCAGACATTTAACTGACTGAGCCACCCAGGTGACCATAAGTTTATCCTTTAAAAAGTGTGCACACTGGGGTTGCCTGGCTGGCTCAGCGGGTAGAGCATGTGACTACTGATCTTAGGGTTGTGAGTTCGAGCTCCACGTTGGGTATAGAGATTACTTTAAAATAAAATCTCAAAAAAAAAAAAAAAAAAAAAGCGTGCACACTGAAACTCTATAAGCCAGATATTTAAAAATACATTAGGTAAGGAATCCTTTGTAAAATAGTCACTAATTAATATTTTATGTGAAACCAAGTTTTTCATATTTTGGCCTTGCTGAAAACCTAGGGGTGTACCTATTATTCATTCAGCAAGTCATTTAACAAATGTGTCCAACACAGATATTTATTGAACACGTAGTATGTGCCAGGTACTGTTTGAGGAGTTGAGGGTTTAGCAATGACTGAGGCAGACCAGGCTCCCGTTTTCATGGAGCTCGAATAAGAGGTGGGAGAGACTGCAGAGTAGCAAGCACATAGGTAAACAAGGCCATTCCAGATGGTGCTAAGTGCTGGGGAGAAAAGTAAGCAACGTGGTCTGGTAGAGAGTGACTAGGGGCTGGGGTGGCAAGGAGGTAGCATTTCATCTGGGGAGTGAGGGTGCTGAGCACATTCCAGGCAGAGGGGACAGCAGGTACCAAGCCTGGGGGTGGCCCAGGTGGGCTCGTTAAAGCAGTGGGAAGAAGGCAGGAGTGACTGGAATACAGTGAGCTGGGGCCCAGTGGGAGAGCGGTAACCAGGCCCGGGCCCTTTAGGGCTCTGTAAGCACAGAATGGGGTTTGCATCTGCGTTTAAGCGCAGTGGGAGGCATTTAGGGGGCGTTAACCAGAGGGGTGACATCGGCCAAGGTACGCTTTAGGCGGAAGCAGAGGGCGGCCATAGTGGTAGCTTCTGTAGTAGGGAAAGGACGCCTGTGGATACCTAATTGTTCTTTATCTTCTGAAATGAGCTTGTTAGTCTGATCTTGGAGCAAATGATGAGAAACTCTTTGCTTCTGTGTGGAATGCAGCTTGTCCTTGGTTAGCTGCGGCTTACCAGGGCTTTGAGGCCCACTTGTGTCCCGATGCGGGCCTTGCTTGTTTACCTTTGTGGTTTCCTGCAGCCCGGCCCAGCCCAGCCCACCTTGGGTGCCTCTGACCAGTCGGGCTTGCCTGTTCACTGGCACAGGGTGGCCTTCCTGTAAGGAAGCCACTGGCTGTGAGGGGGCAGGTCTGCTTTCTTGGGTACAGTCGGCTCGGTGTTGGCTTGTCCTAGGTTAATGTGATGGATTCTTTAAAACTATAAAATGTTTTTCCTTCGGTAGACTTCTATTACGTTTAATTAGTGGATGTTTGAGTTTAATAAAGAGGGAAGACCTCCTTGTCAGAGTCAGACCATTCCTTGAATTTGAAACATTTGCTGCCTCTGCTAAGTGAAGCTGGTGTCGTCGCCCCGACCAAGGCTTTGGCCGGGCTCCTGTGGGGCTCGTTTGTCTGCTGGGGGCAGGAGCCCCTC